GTTTAGGGTTTAGGGGTTTTGTGTGTCATGGTGACGACTTTCATGGTAAAGCAAAAACACTGCGAGCAGCTGCAGCAGCAGTGCCACTACTAGGACGAGGCCATTGTTAGGGACGACAGCAAGAACTACAGGGAAAGTCGAGATATCGGTTATGGTAATGACGATGATTCCGGAGATGTTATGACGATGTTGGCAGTAGTCGGTGGCAATCACGATAGGAGTCAATGCTGCCACAGTAGTCACAGACGTTTGGGCATTATAAGACGCTGGTGCCAGTCATGTTCACACTATATGGGCAGTGTCTGTGTCAGAAGTCATAATAAGACACAAGTCATAGAAATTCGTGGAGGCAGTGTGGATGAGCGTATGAGATTGAACTTGTCGCAAGCAGAGCAAGAGACGCGCCAGAGGCAGCTAACATCAGTGTGAAGAGTGACCTGAGGCTTCGCCAGACTTTCGACGGTTGGTTCGCGTTTGATCTCCTCCTGGTTTTGAGCTCCTACCTGGAGCGACTCCTTGAACTTATCTCTGGCGAGTCTGCAGAGCAGCTCATGCTTCTAAGACTGTTGCGTTTGATCCGCCTGGTGCGCACCTTCCGCATGGTCCGGCAGGCGGCGCGGGGTGGCTTTAGTTTTCTGTTTAGGGATGAAGGATGTTTAAGGGTAGGGGTTGAGTCATCGGGATGTCGAAAATTTGATCTCCGGAAAACCCTCGAACGCAAAGGTGCGACCCCTGTGGCGTTTGGTGCATGGTCTGCTCACATCCTTGGACACGGTGCTATCCACCTTCCTCTTGTTGGCACTGGTGCTCGGTGATGGCTTTAGGGTTCAAGTAGATCTTCAGCTTGGTTGTCATCGTAGTTTCTGGCATGGTTCTGTATGAGGTTTTCGTTCTTGGAGGCATGTTGATCAACAGCTTGCTGTTTCTAGGAGCTCGGATGGCCTGTAAAGATCCTAGGGAAGAAAAGGACTAGCGACTGTGGGTTAAGAAGACATGGGTGAGTGACTACTTTACGAAAAGGTTCTCTGCTGTTGACAAGGTTTGTCCAGCAAGGGACGGGTTCCTTGGTTGGACAGGTCTTTTCTTGAGACAAGGGTTCTGCTCGACAAGCTATTTAGGAGATTTTCAGATGGCTTGGCTTGTTTTTTTTTCACATGGTTTGCTTGGCTTGGGTTGTATAAACTTGTACACATGTTGTGTATATATATATATATGACTTTACGCATACACATACATGTATATATCTTTAAGATAGCAAAACCACCCTTGACCCCCTGCACCCGAGTATTGTATCAGTACGGCATATGTTCAAACATGCTACATGGGCTTGGCTCATTGGTAGGATATATGAATGAGTCAAGGAATGGATGGATGCTTGCATGCATGAATGAATAAGTGTATGCATGCATGCATGTTCGTTCGTATATTGTCTTTATATCTATATATATATATATGTATGTATATATATATATATATATGTATAAACATATATATATGATGCAGGGCTGCCACACCCCCCCTCCCCCCCCACCCCATGGTATCCCCCCCGCCCCCC